GGACCCAGACGCTAAGTGACACAGCAGCTCCTGACCTGACCACAGAGCCCCTCCGCCCCCCTCGGGCACGGCTGGACGCCCCTGTTCCACCCTGGCGACTCGGGAGGCCGGCACTGGCACCGAGTCCCTGGAGACTCAGACATGAGGCCATGGGCAGGGGCTGGGGAGGGGCCGGCTCACCGCAGGCCGGGTGCCACCAGGAGGCGGGACTGTCCCCACCCCGTCCCCGGCCTCAGCGTAGCTGTGGTTCTGAATGGAAAAGAAATGGGTTTGCACTCACCTCTTTTCTTGTCCCAGGTTGGCCTCTTCCCAGACCTTGGTGTCTGCCTCTGTGCCTCACGGTTCTGAGGGACGGGTGGGCGTGAGGTGACCGCAGGGCACAGGGGACGGTTCTGCCCCAGGGAATCCCAGGGGGCCTGTGTTCATTATTTGGGAAGAGCTCCTTAGCTTCCTGCCCACAGCAGGCACCAGAATGGCATCTGCGGGCGGCGTGTGGACCAGGGGACACTCGGTGTTGGTGGAGGTGGGGTCAGGGGTCTCAAGAACACCAGGGACGTGGACCAAGCCGCTGGCCTGCTGCCCTTTAACCCCGGGGCCTAACGGGGCTCCAGGTCGGGCCTGTGACCACCCCGGGCTCTGGTGCCACCCCCTTGCCCCCCCCTGCCTACACCCCAGCCGGGGGAGTGTCACCTGTCACCGGCCCCCCCTGCTCCCCCTCAGTCAGCGCTCCTGGGTGACATATTTAGACGGTTGCTGTGGTGACGGCGAAGGCTGCGGCTGGCAGCCCCCGGGAGGCGAGGTGCCTCTGCTTCGGGCTGGGTGCCGGCGGGGGCTGTGGGCCCGAGGCTGCCCGGCCACCCACATGATGCCCCGAGGAGCCGCAGTGGGCAGGGCTGGCCTGTGGCCACTGCTGGGTCCCGCTGTCCCTGCCCTCGGGCACCCTCAGAGCAGGGTCTCGCCCTGAGTAGATTCTGTTTCAGGAAGCCTTGGCCACGTCTGGGGACATTGGTGGCTGTCACGACTGGGGTGTCCTGGCAGAGTGGGGGGAGTTGGGGACGCAGCTTGACACCCTGCGGGGCCCAGGTGGTCACAGAGAACCTCCCAGCCTCTGTGCTGGGCCAGGAGACGTCCATTCTCTTGGTCCAGCTGCTCTCGCGCTCGTCACCATGGACAGATCTGTGGGTGGGGGGAGGCGGGACCTGGAGACCCCGGAGCTGCTGGCTCTGCTGCTCAGGAAGGTGGCCGGGGAGCGGCCACCTGGGTGCCTGCGGGTCCCCAGCAGCCAGCGCGCACAGTGGGCCTTCCACATGGTGTCCCCAGGCGGGGACTTGGAGACGGCCTCATGGGCACTTGTCTGGGGCATCTCTCGGAGCCAGAGCCCAGGTGGGCTGGGGCTGCCGTGGCAAGGTCCTGCTGTCCCCTTGCCCTGGCTCAGCCCTTCGTGGGGACCTTGGTGACGCCTGGGGATAGGCGGCTGTCATGACTGGGAGGGGGTGGAGCCCAGGGCGCTGCTCAGCCCCTGCAGGACCAGGACTGTCCCGTGTCCCTGGCTCAAGGGCTGCTGCTGTTTTCAAAGGCTGCTCTGGACAGAGGACGGCCCTGCCAGGAGGGGAGGGGGGTGTGCCAGAGATGGCCGTGCCCAGTCTTGGCATCTCTCTGTCCCTCTCCTTGCCGTCTGCCCTGGGGCCATCAGCTCCATCCCTGTCCCCAGCCAGAGCCAGTCCCTTCCTGCTGGGGAGGGTCTGGGGCTCACAGTGCCAGCTCTGTCCCCTGAGCTGCCACTTTGCCCTTGAGGAGGGCTGCCAAGGTCAACCGAGGCAGAGGGGCCTGGGGCATCGCTGGCCCTCCAGGGTCCCTCCCTCTTCAGGCTGTCCCTGTGCCACACAGTGGGCAAGGTCCCCTTGGTATTGCCCTGGCATGTGGCCCCGTGTGTGAGCCGAAGGCCCCAAAGCTGGCCAGTCCCTGCCTCTGGAGGGGGGCTTGGCTTCAAAACAGGATGCCTGTGGGCAAGGGCACCAGATGCCCTGGCAGAGGGCCTGGTGGGTGCCGCCTGAGCACCGTGCGCTCCGAGCCCGGGATCCGGGACCTCTGCCGCGTGTGGGGACAGCGCCTGGGAGGGAGGGCGGGCGCCGTCTCGCAGGGTCCTGCCCGTGGGCTCCGGCGTCCCCGGCACCGGCTGTGCATCGGGTCACGCTCGCTGTGCTCCTGCCTGGCCGTCCTCCCCCTCACGTCCTCAGCACCGGGTCTTCTGGGTGAGGTCCTAATCTAAAAAGAAGAAAGAAAACGCAGCCCACAGACCAGACGGATTGTCAGCAGCACTTCCCGGGACACAGTGGGGGGCAGGGGAGCACTGGGGTGTCCCCTGACGTCTGTTTCCTCAGAGTGACAGCTTGTCCCCTCGGGTCATGGGGCCGGTTCTACCTGGCCTTCCTGCCCCGTTGCACCCGGCCCTGCTCTGGGTCCAACCCGGTTCACACCCGCTGTCCAGCAGGGCCCCGCCGTCCATCCTGCCCTGACTCTAGAGGTCCCTCCTCCGGGGCCTGGGGCTCCTCGCGGGAGACACGAGACACGGACGCAGCGTTTCTGTCTGACTTGGGGGTGGGTGAGGGTCGAAGGGACAGCGGGGCGCCAGCTGCTGCCCCACTGTCCCTCTCTGCGCCCGTCCGTCTGCTCTGGGGCTGAGTGCAGACCCGGGGCCTGCAGCAGCTGCCTGGTGGCTCAGGGCAAGGACAGCCTTGAGCTGCTGCCAGGGCTCAGGGACAGGTCACTGGGCAGGAGGGGAGGACAGGCTGGTGAGGAGCGTCCTACATGTTCACGAGACAGACGCTCCCAGCGGTCAGAGGCAGAGGCTACCCAGGTTCCCGTCAGGGGACACACAGCATGTTCTGCCCACTGGGAGAGTCCTCTAGGCAGGAGTGAGGTGACAGCTGAGTGTGGACACCTGAGGACCTCATGGTCAGTGAGAGCCAGACACAGAATGTGACCCAGCCACAGGGGGTCCAGAGTGGACCTGCAGGACAGGGCTGGGAGGGGCCGCTCGTGGGACGGGCTTCTTGGGGTGGCGGAATGTTCTGGGCCGTGCAGGTCTGACTGCGCCCAGCAGTGCACTGCCCTTCCAGCGTCCAGACTGACCCTTGTTCTCCGGCCGGCGCCTGTGTCACCCTGTCTCCTGGCGTGCGTGGACAGTGTCCCTGGTGGATGAGAGGTGCACGATCCCTCCCGCACTGTCCGCCAGTCCCCCCCCCCCAGTCTGTGCCGGAGCCACCATTCTGCGCATGGGTGGGGCCCGCGAGGCAGAGGCCTGGCGTCCCGGCCCCTTCGCCACTGGCCCAGCTGACTGCAGCCCTCCGCGCGCCCTGCTGTGGACGGGGTCCTGCAGGGCCCGGCCACCAGCTTCCCAGGGCGCCCGGCGTTCCTGTGGCACGGGCGCCACCTGCAGGCAGCGTGGGGGCGGCGCGCTCCTGGCCTTGGGTGCAGAGGAGCACATCCTCAAAGCTATGGGGGGTTTTAAAATCTGTTACCTGGCCGAGGTGGCCACCTGTGATCCCAGAGGCTCCCGAGGCTGCGGCAGGAGGATCAAAAGTTCAAGGCCAGCCTCTGCAACATAGCGAGACCCTGTCTCCAAATAAAAACGAAAAGGGTCGGGGTCTGCTCAGGGGTGGAGCCTGGCTCCCCTCCCGGGCACCAGTCGTAAATAAATAAGCAAGTACACAAGAGTGACTTTGAATTTCAGAGTCGCAGGCGAGCCTCCGAGAACACTGGCGCTTCCGTCCCCCTCAGAACTCGGCAGTCCCTTCCCGCCGGCACCTTACCCAACCTCAGGGGATTTGTGACAACCAGAACCCCTTGGGGACACGTTCCCTTTGCTGGACTCCACTGTCCTCAGATCTCGTTCTCCCCGTATCCCTCCCCCACCCAGCATGGCGCCTGGGACCGCGGCTGCTCGGCTGTGCACCCCGGGTCTCCCTACTCTTTGTGACCCGACAGTCTGGCTGGGTCCTGCCCCCTCTGGCCTGGGTGGGCCTGAGGTTTTCCAGAAAGACCAGGGCTCTGGGTTCTGGGAAGGTACCCAGGAATGAGTATCCTTTCTCACGTGTCAGATCCCGTGGAGCCAGCACTAAGTGGGCCCCAGCTGTATACTGGGGTTCCTAGGCCGCCCCTGGCCTGGCGCCTGCTGGGGTCCCCAGGTCTCAGCACGGGTGCGTTCTCCCAGCTGCGGTTCTTACAGTGACAGGACCCAGAGCAGTCAGAGGTGGGAACCGCATGTGGGGCACTTGGGGACCAGGCAGGGCCTCCAGTCTCCTCCCACTTGGTCCCCACCACACACCTGTGGAAAGTCACTGGGAGCTCAGAGACCCAGCGCCTGGGGTCCGGGGGGACACGCGGCCCTCTGCCTGGCGCATGCTGAGATCCCAGATCCAGAGGCACCCAGGGGCTGAGCGGAAGCCACACTGTTGGCCCCACGGCTCAGGCCCAGGAGCCCCTCCTGTCACGGGGGGTGGAGGCCCCAGGGCCAGGTCCCCAGACGCCCGGCCAGCCTCGCAGCCCGGCCTCAGGCGCTCAGAGACCTGCTGGTCCCCACCTGCTTCTGGGGACCGAGGCTTGCTTCCCTGGACTCTGGACTTTCGTGGTGACTTGGAGAAGGGCAGGGCAGCCTGATGAGCTGGTCACCTGGGGACCACGAGGCTCCTGCAGTGGACAGCACATTTGCAAACAAGGAAGGCCCTGCAGCGGTCCACCCTGGCCACGAGTCCTCTTCTCAGACGTGGAGACTTTGTCAGCGACACCCTGGGGGAGGGGGACCACGCCCCTCGGCCCGTGGCCCTGGGGTTGATCCTGCCCACAGGCCGAAGCCTCCCACCGGTCCTCAGAAGGGCCCTGAAGGCAGGAGTGGTGGGCCTCTGGCGTCCCCTGAGGGCATGCCCCTCCGTGCCAACCCTGCGCCCACCTCCTGCACCTCCCACAGAGTGGTGCTGGCTCACGCTGTGTTTCTCTTGCAGGAAGCCAGCGCTGGTGACGGACGAGGTGGAGGGCGCTCCGCACAGGTACGTGCTGCCACCTGCCCTGGGCTGCTCTTGAAGTCAGGCCAGGAGGGGAGTTGGGCGGCTGACCAGGTGGCGTCCGCTGTGACCGGCCCTGTGTCGGGGGCTTCTTACCACAAAGACTGTGCATGGACAGTGGGGAACAGGGACTGTGCGGGGTTCCTCACAACGTGTCCTGCTGTGTGTGGAGCCATGGCACTGGTGGGGCTGGTCCTCAAGAGCTCTGGACAGCGTCAGGACAGGGAGCACATGGCTGTGCCGCCTGCCTTTTGGTCATCTGAACCCCACCCCAGCGAGTTTTAAGGGGGAGCTTTTGTCCTGAGTGACCCAACAGTAGTCATGGCCAAGGCCAGAGCTGTCTTTGAATGGAAAGTGTATTAGAAACTCGTCTCAGTCTGTTTTCTGTTGCTATGACAAAGCACCCAAGGCCGAGTACTTTAAAATATAAGAAAGGTTCATTCCGACTCACAGTTCTGGAGGCAGGATCCGGTGACTGTACCTTGTATTGTATCCCAGCAGGACAGGTGATGTCATGTAGTGGGAGCCCGGGGGAGATGGGGAGTGTTGTGTGCAGAGGTGACGTGGCCAGAGCTGATGCAAGAGAGCTGGGTAGGGCCTGCTCACTCTCATAGCAACCTGCCCTTTTGCGCTGGGCCAAACCGTCCATCTTGTGCAGCCCACCCTCCCCACCTGGGACCGTCACCTCCTGGTCCCCTCCCACTCAGCCCACCCCTTAAAATCCCACTACTTTCAACACTGACATCAAAGAGTCCCGCTGACCACTGTGACGGTCACAGCCTGGGTGACAAAGCTCCTTCAGACCTTGGCGCCCCTCTGTGCCCTGGCAGGAGGGCAGATGGGGAAGGTTCTTTGTGACAGTCACGGGTGAGGCTGGGCCCAGGTTCGGTGGTCACCAGGGTGGCTGCTGGCACAGGAGGGGCCCGGGGCCGAGCGCTGTGGGTGTCCCTTGTGTGAAACTGGTGGAAAGGTCAAGTCTGTGGGGACAGAAGGGTGGTGGGCAGTGGTGAGGCTGGGACTGTGGTCACTCCACATTCTGCCGCGGTGATGGAGGTGATGGAGGTGACAGAGGGGACGGAGGTGATGGAGGCCATTCAGAGCCAGGTGGCACCTGTGGCCCCGGAGCCCCAGGAGGGCGTCCTGGGCCGTGCGCCTGTGTGATGCCACGCGAGGCTGAGAATCTGTGCCTTAGCCCACGGACGTCTTCTGGTGGAGGAGGTGACCACGGTGGCCGGGGTGGAGCAGGCAGTGCTGGGCAGGGGAGGACATGGGCACGAGGGCGCGGCAGGGGTACGGCGTGGGGACCTCACGGTGCTGAACCCGCCCGGGAAGAGCCCCAAGAGACCCTCACTGAAAAAGCAAACAAAACAGGGAGCTTCTGCCAGTCCCCAGGGAACCCGGCCATTGCCACCAGCTCCGCCACCCGCCGCTGCCCGGCCATGGTGCCCAGCAGAGAGACTCGGGGACACTAGGATGGCGTCCCCCGTGCTGCGGGCCCCTGTGTCACAGCTGGAGCGTTTCCTAGTGTCCACACCCACCAGGGCCCCGAGCCCACCCAGGCCCGGAATGAATGTGTGGCCACGGCAGAGGGGCAGCCGGGGCGTGCACACGACCCTCCCCAGGCCAGGGCGACCGTCCCCACCCCCAGGCGCCCTGGCCTGGAAAGGGCTGACGCCTCTCGGTTCAGGGCGATGTCCCTGGGGAGCTCCCGGCCTGGAGGGGTGGGACAGGGACGCCCCAGGAAGGACCGGGCCCTGGGGCGAGCCACTGGGGCTCCTCAGCGGTGGCTTGTGGCTGAGTGGCCTCTCTGAGCGTCCTCGTCCTTGGGAGGCTCGGGGGCTGCCGGAGTCAGCGGGAGCCTGTCGGCGGCTTGGCCTGGGGAGGGCCACCTTCCGCCCGTCCCGGGGGGGCTGGGACACACAGGACCCTGCTTCTGCCCACAGACAGGCTGTTCCCTGGAGGGACTGCCCAGCGTACGGGGGTCCTGGACACGCTCTGCCCGGGCACGCAGTGGTGGTGGCCGGTGCCCAGCCCACGGCGGGACCAGCCGCAGCCCCCTCCCCTGTCCGCTCCGCGGGCACGGGGACTTCCTGACGCTCAGGGAGCTCAGCCGCGACCCTCTCCCACAGGGCCCCTGGGTGATCCTGCCCCAGGGACACTGGTCCCTGGACCCGCGAGGTCCTCACAGCGGGGAGTCCTGGCTCCGCCCACCCTGGTCAGCACAGGGAAGTCCCAGGGGGCAGCCGCGTCTGCCTGGCCTGGCGCTGAACAGCCGGCTCCGGTCAGCGTGCACCTGGGACACGGGGACTTCAGTCCTCAGCCCTGGAGGGCGGGCGCTGTGCTGGGCAGACGTGCCCACCCTCTCCCCCACTCACCCGGGGATGGTGCCACAGCACCCAGGTGGCCCTGCGGCCATCATTCAGGAGGCCCTGAGTCCCCTTCCTGCTCACAGCAGCAGAGCTCACCAGGGCAGGTGGTGGAGGCCAGGGCCAGCTCCGGCCTCACTGGCCTGGGCATGTTGCTGGGCAGCGTCCCGGGCCTCAGAGGGCAGGTGAGCATGGGACAGGGCCTCGGGGGCCGGGATCGAGGGGTCTCCCCTGGGGTGGCTCTGGCCCAGGGAGGTTTCTGAGTGTAGGGTGTGAACGATCTGGGGGAGGCCACCCACCAGGCCCCGCGTGGCCCCACCGCTGGGCTGACCTGGCCCCAGATGCCCACGTGCAGGGGACAGAGGCGCTGGCCCACAGGACTCCCCTTGGGGACCGTCAGGCTGCTCTCTGTCTTGTGTTGGGGCGTCTCCATCCCCACCAAGCCCCAGGGACTCGAGCCCACCCTCCCCCGTAGAGCCAGCCGGTGTCCCCAGCAGCTGTTGTCACCTCCCAGCTCACCACCACCAACCCCGAGACGCAGCAGGGCGTCCCCCGGGGGGTGGTGCCGAGCTGCCCAGGAGCCCAGGCAGCCGGCCTGTGCCGTTGCTAAGCAACCGCCCACAGCCGCCTGGCCAGCCGGCGATGCCCAGGACGGTCACAGTCACGGCGCAGGCACGGAGCCCCGGCCCCTCTGACTCAAGGCACACGTGGGGGTGACTGTCACGCTTCAACCAGGGGCTGTGGGGACACGGGGAGCCCAGTGCAGGTGGAGGGGACTCGCCTGGGTGGGCGTGGGGTCCGCGTGGGGGAGCACACGCGTAACAGATGGGTGGGCGCAGCCTGCAGAGGTGAGGTGCCATCTGCTCAGAAGCGGGGCGCAGCGGAGAGGGCCCTCGGGGCTGGAGAAGGCCAGCCGCGGGGACCCACGTGGCTGGGTGTGTGGGGACAGCTTACAAAAGTGTCCTGTGAGGGTGGGGCAGTGGCCGAGCCTGTCATCCCGCAGACCCACCGGGGAGGTCGAGGCAGGAGGATGGGAGCTCAATCCAGCCTCAGCAACTGAGGAAACCCGGCCTCAAATAAAACAGGCGTCTGGGCTGGGCTCCGGGCAGGGCACTCGCCTGGCACGTGGGAGGCGCGGGGTTCGGCCCCAGCACCACATAAATAAAGAAGATCAAGGCATCTGTCCGTCGCAACCACAAAAAAACAATCACAAAAAGTAGAAAGGGCTGGGCGTGGCTCCGCAGTAGCTCTGTCCCCAGGACCGAGCGCAGCGGAAAGGCCAGTGAGGACCGGCCTGGGTCACCTGTTGTTGTTACTGGATGCGTCTCTGAGTGGCGCTGGTGAGCTCCGGACCAGGCTGTGGACCTACAGAGTCCGGCTCCGCCGCCCTCCCTGCTCCCCGTCAGCGGGACCCAGTTCACACCGTGTCCCCTCCCCATCTCGAGCTCTCGGGTCCAGGAGCCCGTGGTGCTTGGCCATCAGGTCCTCAGGCTCCTCTGGGCTGTGGCAGCTCGGGACGTCCCCGGTCGCCTGACCGTCTGCGGGGCCTGGCCGGCGTTCTGCAGAGGGCTCTCCACGGGGGCGCGTCTGGTTTCAGGGTTAGACCGAGGTCACCAGATCCGGGGACGAAGTGCCCAAGAGGTGCCCCCTCCTCGCCCTGCCGGGGTGCTGAGACCCACAGGCGTCACCGTGACCCTGATCTGGTCCTCCTGCTGGAGGAGGGGTCGCTAGGGCCAGCCTGGCCTGGCCTGCCCTTTGGGAGCCAGTCCCTCCCTGAGTTCCACTGGCACTTGGGAGCGGGGAACCAAGCCCCGCCTCGTGGGCAGACAACCGAGGTCCACGCGGAACTTCCCTCCGTGACGTTTCCAGTTTGTTGTTAGAACTTCTCTTTTCCTCGGTGCTGGGGATGGACCTGGGCCTGTGCCCGGCGCGCCCTGCACCCTGACCACCCTCCACCCTGACCGCCCTCCACCCTGACCGCCGTGCACCCTGACCGCCGTGCACCCTGACCGCCCTGCACCCTGACCGCCCTGCACCCTGACCGCCCTGCACCCTGACCGCCCTGCACCCTGACCGCCCTGCACCC